ACTAATCAGTTCAGACCCTGCCCTTCCTCTAACAAACGTCCTCTAACCCTTATCTGAAGCACTGAGCTGATATGAGGCATGAGTGATAATAGCCCCAGAAGTCTTGCCCATAGAACGAGAAGAATTGGTAAGATTTTGGTTTAAACATGGACCAAGTCCAGGAGTTCACCTTTCCTCAAAACACCATTGTGCACTCCTTCCTGCCATGTCTTGAAGATCATCAAACCTGAGTTTCAGGCAACATCTCTGGTTGTATCCCTTCCCTATCCCACTTTGTGGCTGTTTGGGTCTGCTCTAATTTGAGAGATGAGCACTGCCCAAATATGGCAAATTTTCACTGTTGCCCTATCATAGTAGAATTACTAGGTTGCACCTATCTCCCCCCTTTGATGATCCTACTAACTTGTGTCTCAGGTTAGACCGTGTAGCTTCCCATTCCATGAGTTAAAATGTGCTAAATAATGTCCTGTAGCTTTATATTACTGGCTGATCTAATTCTTCAGCAAAGTCCCAGTTCTAACAGACAAGGACAATAGGCCAAGCTATCTCTTACTGTTTCCTGACCATAAGGATTTTGTCACTGTACACAGCATGAGTACTAGGTAAAAATGGAGAGGCCTCTGGATTCAACCCTCCTTCCATCTGGATAGACGTCTCCCTTAGACCAGGGAAATCTTGGCAGGCAACCCCAAAACGACATAGGGAAGTCGCCATATCGAGAGGGTCCTACATACACGGTTCAGATAGGTGTATTTTCTTTAAAAAGTAGTCCTTAAGAGTATCTATCTCACCAGTAACTCAGAACCACCTTTCCCAGGTTTGGTGCCTGAAGGTCTTATCTCTATGAGGTCTAGGGGTATATTTACAAGTAAGTTACTAATTTTTCTCTTCTCTTTGGAAGAGAAACAGATTCTTTTAATGCCTTCCTCTTTTAGGAAGAAAAGAGAAACAAAACTTGGAGAGGCTGTACAATTAGCTCCCATTAGGGATCTGCTCCCAATCCTGGTGCAAAGATGAGGCAAGTTCTTCCCTTATCTCACCAACTGGTGCTCTCAGTTCTCTGCAGTTTCTTTGCACCTCATCTGTCTGACTACTCCATCTAGCTGCAGCAACAGCCCATGAAAGTCTCAGAAGAAACGATGATGATGATGGTGAAGATAATAGTGATAGCTAGCATTTACATAAGGCCTACTATGGGCCAGGTACTGTATTAAGTGCTTTACAAATATCATCTCACTTGATCACCACAACAATCCTGCAAGTTAGATGCTATTATCACCCTCATTTTACAGTTGAGGAAACTGAGGCAAATGGAAGTTTAAGACTTGCCCAGGGTCACACAGCTCTGAGGCTGAATTTGAATTCAAGACTTCCTGACTCCAAGCCCAGCACTCTAACCACTATACTACCCAGTTGCCTAGTTGGCAGAAAGAAGGAATAGAGGAGAGGGCTACCAAAGATTAGGCACACTTTTGAACTCTGCCTTTAAGATGGAAAAAGAACCTCTTCTGGTTTCTCTCTTCCAGATAGCCTCAGAAATCCAAGTTCAAATGTGTCATCAATTGGCAAACATTGAGATAGCATCTGCTTAATTCTTTTGTCTCCATAGCAAGCTATATTCTGATCCAGAACTATAATTGTTGTTGTTCAATCATTTTTCAGTCGTGTCTGACTCTTTGTGACCCTATTGGGGTTTTCTTGGCAAAGATACTGGAGTGGTTTGCCATTTCCCCAGCTCATTTTACAGATGAGGAAACTGAGGCAAACTGGGTTAAGTGACTTGCCCAGGGTCACACAGCTAGTAAGTGTCTGAGGCCAGATTTGAATTCAGATAGGAATATTCCTGACTCCAAGCCTGACACTCTAACCACTGCACCCCCTAGCTGCCCAGAACTACTTGCATAGCTTTACTTCAGTCACTTGTTCCTAAGTAAGTCCCCTTTGGGGAGTTACATGTAAGTCGACTTCCAGGAGTAGCTCTGCTTCTTGGCTCATATTCTTGGCTTAAGTTTCCACACTAAGATCTGAAGTAGCCTCTCTTTTGGTCTTGATGGCTCAAACCTGAGGAGGTATCCTGGGCCCACGGGGTGTCATGTTTTGCCCCTTATGACCAATCGTTCTCTAGAGACAGTGCCTCTATTTTCCTGACCAGTCATATCAGCTAAGTAATTGAGAGACTCTTCTTGCTGCTGATTCACATTGATAGGTGAAACCATAGTGTTTCATTATACACCAACTCCTTTATCACTTACATTAAGTGTTTTCCACCCACTCTAATGACACTGTTCCTTTGATTTCCCCTCTCCAGAGTAGCCTTTCCAACTGTAACACAAAGTCAGAGATCATGTCTCTCTCTCTTTGAAAGAGCTCCCCTACCCTACCATCCGCAAAACTAGCTATGCAGCATCTATAAACACTTGAGTATTATAACTTTGGGGTACATATAGAAGGAGCATGAGGTCAACAGCAAGGCCTTAGAAGCTCTCCATTCACTTCCTGTTTCCTGGCATTGGTTCTGTGCTACTCCTGAATTACTTCTGTGACATATCCTTGATCAGACCTAAAAGGTTCTTCTCCTGGTGGGCTAGGAGACCCCACTGAAGATTCAATTCAACCAATATTTATTAAGTACCTGTTATAGATACAAATACCTCTTGTGTACAAGTACCTGTTATGCATATGGGGTAGAGGTACAATAAAAATAAGCCAATGTGTGCCCTGGAAGAGCTTATGATTTATGTGTATATGTGTATATATACATATATACACATTTATGTGTATATATATATATATACACACATTTATGTGTATATATATACACATACATATATATGTGTATATATGTATATATACACACATACATAAACATGTGTATATATACATATACTATATATTATAGATGTTAGAGTGTATGTGTGTACATATATAAGTATATGTAAAACAGACAGAGAGGACCACAACATCATAAATGTAGGATTGGAAGGGACTGAAGAGGACATCCAGATCAACCACATAATTTTACAGATGAAGAAGCTAAGGCTTAGAGAGTTCAGGAGCCTTGCTGAGGTCATAGAGATCATGCAGGGCAGTCACGATGTGAACCTAGGTCCAATGACTTCCTTTCCAGCTGTCTTTCTACTTCACTGATTACAGACTTATATGAAATAATTGGATAGCTAGGTGGTATAGTGGATAAAGTGCCAGGCCTGGAGTCAGGAAGACTCACCTTCTGAATTCAAATCTGGCCTTAGACACTTACTAGCTGTGTGACCTTGGGCAAGTCCCTTAACCCTTTTTGCCTCAGTTTCCTCATCCGTAAAATGAGCTAGAGAAGAAAATGGTAAATCACTACAATATCTTTGCCAAACAAACCCCAAAATGGGGTCACAAAAAAGTGGACATGACTGAAAACAACTTAACAACAACACAAAATAATTACAAGTAGAGAATATTGAAAACTGAAGAAATTGGGATAGGCCTTGTGGAGGAGGAATGACTTAAGCTGAAGGGAGAAATGGATTCTACGAGGCAGATGTGAAGACACTGAAGTCCATCTGGGCAAAAGGCCAGAGGAAGGAAATAAAATGGCTTCTTTGGGGAAGAGCAAGAAAGCCATGCAGACTGGAATGTAAAGTGTAGGAATGAAGAAGATTAATTTTAAATAAAACTATAAGAAGTAAGTGGGAATTAGATTATGCCAAATGCCAAACTGAAGAGTTTGTATTCATCACAGAAGCAATTGAGAGCCCCTGAAGATTTCTAAGTAAGGAATCACATAGTCAGATCTATGCTTGGGTAGATTGGAAAGAGGGAAAGACTGGAATCAGAGATATCAGAGAAGACTATTACCACAACAGAGACAAATAGTGATGGCGACATAAGCTAGGGAAGATGCTGCACAAGTGAAGGGGGATGGGTTCCATAGATTTTGGGAAGGTACAATCAAAAAGACTTGAAAATTGGATATTAGAGTTGAGGGAGAGGAAAGAGTTAAGGTTGACTACAACGTTGCACATCTAGGTGCCTGGAAGAATGGTAGCATCCTCAAGAGAAACAGGAAAATTTGGAGGGCAAAGATGATTAGAAGAAAATATAGTGCATACTGATTGGTTCTAATGACATGCCTGGTTCTGACATTAGCGAACTATTAGATATTTTCCTCTAGCTCATTTATTTCAATACCCCTCTCTAAATCCTGACCAGTGATTTTGGGGGACCCAAATTTGGCCCATTCATCCCTTGCTCCTGTTACAGTGGTCTCATCCTGAGTTTATGACTAGTTTTCTACCAATGTTCCTGTCACTGAGATTTTTAGCCATGTTACCAATAGTCACTCTTACTTACCCACCTTATAATTCTGAATTTATCTCCAGGCCCCAAATTAACATGTCCTTAATGCATTTCATTTAATTCTAACTACTTCTTAAATTTTCTGAGATAATTTTAATTCTGATTCTCCAACATGCTGGATACTCCTTTTTTATTTTAGCATCAATTTACAAACAAACAAAAAAACCAAACCCTATTTTGTTCATTAGAATGAACTAAAGTATTTAAACACCATTGGGCCCCAAAGCAATCCATGTGAATATTTTATAATGTTGTAAAAGTTATTCTACAGTTGGCATGATAAAATATGGTATTGCAAGTTAAGATTGGAGAAATCTGCATAAATGTCTGCCTCTAGGTACAAAAAAATCTCAAACTTAAAATGGCTCTAATAGCTATTTCCAAAAGCTACACAAGATGGGGATATTGCTCCAAGAAAAATTATTTGCTTCAGTACCAAGTCTAACTTTCCAAACTCTTAGGGAAGAAAAGTATAGACTTTTGTGTACTGAAAATAAGGGGATTCTGTGCAATATATATGTAATTGAAGCTATATTTAGGATAACTGCTTATGGAAAAAAAATCTTTTGTTCTTTGTGAAGTAATTCAAAATCATTTACTTCCAATTTTCCCTTTTCTTAATTATGTAGAGAAATTAAAATTTTACTCACCAATGACATCCGTTCATAGACACGAATAGAAGATAATCTATCTAAAAGAAAGCAAACATCAGTAATTGATATAAAATCAAATCTCACTACATTCATAAGACATTCACATAATCACTCCTTTACCTGAAGAATTCCCATAAACTTTGGCCATTTTCTCTCGAAGACTTAATATTTGCTTTTCTAACTGTTTATTAATTTCAATTTGTGCTTCATAACGAATTTTCCATTCATTACCTTTATAAGGAAAAAGGACAAAAGCAAAATTACCAGTTTCATATATCAATGCTGGCATCTTATTCAATTTATATTTAAAAGTACTCCAATGTATTTAGAATGAAAAATATTTTAAATATACTACTATAACCCTTCTAAAGCACTATTATATTTTTAGAATCACAATCTTTCTTTTCTTCCAAAAATACTTTTATATTTAAAATCATCAAATATTTAAAATTATATCTCAAATCTGAGAGTGTCCTTAGATGGCTTTTAAATTAAGTTACTATTCCATGAACATGTTCCCCATGAAACATAAATGATGTATTTACCTTTTGATGTAACATTTCAGTGGAAGCAAAGTCATTACCTTCAAAATACAAACTATTGTATTTTGGGACAGCCCTGATCCTTAACATATATGTGTGTGTATATACACACACACACACACACACACACACATATACATGCACATGTATATATGTATATATGTATGTGCATCTTTGTGCATGTATATATGTATGTGTATATGTATACACACATACACATACACACATGTATATAAAGCCTCATATACATACTCACACACACACACACACACACACACACATATATATATATATACGTATATGTATGGTTTTCTTTCTAGTGATATAAAATGGCCTCCAAAGAAATCTCAGAATCTCATAAATGGGAAGACCTTGGGGCTTATCTAGCACAACTTGCACCTTTAACATTTCTCAAAAGTGACCATACAGCTTTCACTTAAAGAACTGTAGTAAATGGAGGAAAACACTACCTCTAGTGAAGGTCAGAGGGAAGTTATGTGTTCCCACTATCAAGAGTCATGAACTGGAAACCCATTAGAGGGATGGAAATTTTGATGTATATAACTGAGGCTCTATGATAAGTCTATAACTGTATGTTGATTACATTGTTACAATTACATTGTTAATATATTAGATTGAATGGCAAATAAAGTATAAACTTTGAGTCCTCATACTCTCCCTATCTTCCTCACTGTACAAAGGACAAAAGACTCCACTGGAAATCTTCTCTTTAGTCATATCCCAAATTCAGCAATCTTGCTAGTCCTATAAATTCTACCTCTGCAATATATCCTCCCATCAGGCTCTTTTATCACTTCCATGGATTATTGTAATAACTTCATAAAAAAGCTTCCTTGTCTACTCCCTGACTCCCTGACATTTTTCAAACGGCTACCAGTCAACTCTTGAGTGTACACACACACACACACACACACACACACACACACACACACACAGAGTTATGTTACTCCTGATTGACCCTGAATTAAAAGATAAAATGAGAGTTCCTTGACATTGGGGAAGATGAATGTTCCTAATTAATTGTATGAATTGTCTATATGAACAATTACAAAATATCTAGTATGTCACTCCGAAATAACATTCTTCATGAGAATGAACTATTGTTATACTTAATTTAAACAACTATGAAAACAACTACTACATATTTTAAACTGTGATTCATAAGAAGTGGCACAAGACATGTATAATTGAGTAAATATGTGATCAGAAAAGGAGGGAAGCTGGTCACACATTGAAAATGAGGGATAACAAATAAACACAACTTTCTGATGAAAAGATCAGCGCTGAATAGAAAATGTGACAATCAGATGCAAGACTTGAGAGAAGCATAAAAAGTAAACAATAAAGTTAAATTGTTTACATTCCTATATGAGAAAATGATACATGTAACTTGTAAGAACTTTATCATTATTAAGACAGTTAAAATGAATTTACATAAACAGAGGACATGGGTATGAGTCAATTATGTTAGAATGCTCTCCAAAAAAACAAGGACTGAGAAAGGAGTCAGTGGAAGAAGGGGGAGGGAAGAGGTAGAATGGAGATATTTTCCTCACATAAAAGAGGTGTGCAGAAGAGCTTTTACAATGGAGAGGAAAATGGTGGTATGGTGGCCTTAAACCTCACTCTCATAGGAATTGGTTGAAAGAGGGATATACACATACTCAGGTGTGTATAGAAATGCAACTTACCCAATAGGGAAACAACAGGGGAAGGAGATGAGAGAAATGAGAGAGATGATAAAAGGGATGGCCAATTAGGGGAGGCAGTGGTTAGAAGCAAAATTGACTTTTGAGGAAGGACAGCATAAAAAGAGAGAAAGAGGAAGAAACAGAAGAAAATGGGAAGGAAGAAAATACACAGTAATCATAACTGTGAATATGACTAGGATGAGCTCACCCATAAAATGGAAGCAGATAGCAGAATGGATAATCCAACAATATGTTTAGGAGAGACACACTTGAAACAGAAAGACACACAGGGTTAAAATAAAAGGATGGAGCAGAATATAATATGCTTCAACTAAAAAAAAAAAATCAGGGGTAGCAATCATGATCTCAAAGCAAAAGCAAAAATAGACCTAATTAACAGAGATAATCAGGGAAACTACATTATGCTAAAAGGTACCACAGACAATGAAGTAATATAAAAAAATTTTCCAGTAAGTTTATCTGATAAAGGCCTCATTTCTCAAATATTTACTAAGTATAGAACTGAGTCTGTATCTCAAAGAGAACAAAGAAAAAGGAAAAGGACCTATATGTACAAAAACATTTATAGAAGCTCTTTTTGTGGTGGTAAAGAACTGGAAATTGAGAGAATGTTCATCGATTGAGCAATGGCTGAACAAGTTACGGCATATGATTGTGATGGAGTACTACTGTGCTATGGGAAATGATGATGGGAGAAGTTTCAGAAAAACATGGCAAGACCTGTATGAACTGATGAAAAGTGAAATGACAACTGGAAGATCACTGTGCACAGTAACAGCAATGTTGTAATGATGATAATTGTGAAAGTTTTGGCTACTCTGATCAATTCAATGATCCAAGACAATTTCAAAGGACTCATAATGAAAAAATGCTATCCACCTCCAGAGACAGAACTGATGAACTCTGAATTGTAAATTGAAGTATAATTTTCTAATTTTATTTTTCTTGTGTTGAAATATGGCTAATATAGAAATGTTTTTCATGGTTTCACATATATAAATGACATCATATTGTTTATGTGATCAGTGGGTGGGAGAGGGACTGGAAGGGAGAGAATTTGGAATTCAAAATTACAAAGAAAAGAATGTTAAAAATAAATAATAAATTGAAATGTTAAAAAAAGAAGACTATGGCAATGGCAAATGATAATTTATCTTACATACACACACAGACACACACACACACACACACAAACAAATAGACAAAAGCACAGAAGTGGTATTCACAGAATGTAAAATGACCTAGAATATAAAAACAATCCATGATGAAAAAGTACAGAAAGGTATCAACCTCTTATGATGAAAGAAAATACTTCCACATTGATAGAAATACTAACAGGACTACTGAGGTTGAATTTTTTTTTGAGGTTGGATTTTATTGCACTATTATTTATATACTATTATTAACCACCAAAAACATAGACTTACTGTAATATTGGTTGTACAATCTTCTCTAATATTTTTCCTAGTAAGAAAAACATTAATATGTAGAAAAACTATACCTTCATCATCAACATTTTTTAATCCTTCTTCCAATTCTACTATCTTGTTCCTGATTTCAATCGTTGTGAGTTGCACTATATCCCTGTTTAATTAAAGAAATTGGTTAAATAATGTTTATCAGTGGAAGAAAAATACTGTAATAATAGTAATTAATATACAATAACATTTTACTTATCCAGGGCACATTTATCCTAACCCTTTGACTGGATAATGTGCATATGAAAACCAAGGGGAAAAATAAATTCTGCACAACCAAAATAGTCCCAAAGCTAATCCACTGAAAGTAAAGCATTTCATAGGATAGTCTGGAAGGCAACCATTAAGCACCTATTTACTATTTATTTTGTAAAAGATTCTAAAAAGTCTGGATATCTGGTTTACCATGCCACAGAAGTTTTTTTTTTTTAACTTTTTGCTGAGGCTATCAGGGTTAAGTGACTTGCCCAGGGTCACACAGCTAGTAAGTATCTGAGGCTGGATTTGAACTCAGGTCCTCCTGACTCCAAGGCCAGAGCTCTATTCATTGCACCACCTAGCTGCTCCCCCCACAGAAGATTTTTAAGCAAGAAATCAGAAAATGGAACGGGATTGTTGCTAGGAGCAAGAAAATTCAAAGTACAAGAAATGACAACTCTACAGGAAAGGAAGCAACTGAGGAAACTGTAAAAAGTAGACTAACAAACTACAAAAACAAGAGCAGCCAGGGTCACTGTGGGTGGTGGGGGTGGCTTGTCCAAAATACCTTAATATTCATTAAAATATTACTGTAGTGCACTTAATAATGAGAACCATCATAGGATCAAGAGTTGGAAAAACTTTCAGAGAGCATCTAGTTCAATTCCCTAAATTTACAGATAAAGAAACAAAAATTTCCAATGTTTTATATATATATAATATATATACATATATATTAATATATATACACATATATAATATATATACATATATATTTATATATATACATATATATATATACATATATAGCAGGATCAGGATTTGAACCCAGGTTTTTAGACTCAAAATTCAGTGCTCTTCCCACTATGTTGCCCAATGCTCATGATAATCATAAGTCAAATATAAAAGGTCAAAATATATCTAGCATAATTTAAGACAAGTCAGTATGAAATGTATTTTAGAAAGATTTCTAACCAGAACAGTTAAAATGAAAAGTTTGGGTGTTTAAGGACATAAGCTTTAGTTATTTGAAAAATTCACCTATATAGATTTTCCTCACTCCTTAATAGGAAATGTGTCCCTAATATCAGATGGAACTAGGTCTCTATAACAAATAGACCCACATTTCTGTTTCAATCCAACTCAATTAAATTAAAGATCTTAAGAACCCATTATATTTGAAGCACTGTTCTAGATGCTAGGGATTGATTCAAATACAAAAATAAAACTCTACAAGAGCTTATAATTTCCTGAGGCAATTCACAAGGTATACAAGTCAACCAATCGATCAATAAGCATTTATTCAGTATCTATTATGTGTCAGTCACTGTGGTAGGTGTTGGGATACAAAGACAAATATGGAATAGTTTCTATTCTCAAGGAGTTTACATTCTATCAGTCTACACTATTACATCGTGTGTGTGTGTGCGTGTGTGTGTGTGTGTGTATAGATATACATATAGATATACAGCTAGATACCTAGATATAGATATGTCTATAAATATTGACTTAGATATCTATAGACAAATCTCTTTATACATATAATATCTACCTAGATAGTTATACACACACATATATATCTATCTATACATACACACCGAATACAAAAGGAATGTTATCTTAAGAAGGAAGGGCACTAGCAGCTGGGAGAATCAGTAAAGAATTCCTGTAGAAAGTGGTTCTTCCCTTGAAGTTAAGAGAATCCACAAGGGAGAGTGAGGAGGGAATGCATTGTAGTTAGCATAGTGAATACAGAGCTAGACTTGGAGAGAGGAAGACTTGAGCTGGGAGCTATGTGGAGAACAGAATGAAATTAGGAGGGACTTGGGACAGGAAGACCAATTAGGCCATTGAAATAATCCAGGAGAGGTGACAGGGACCTGAACTAAAGTGGGTGTTATGAGAGTTGTGAAAAGGGACAGACATAAGACAGAAATGGTGATATTTGGCAGCTGCTGAGATTGATGGAATTGGGAAGAGTGAGAATAATGCTAAAGCTGCCAACTCTTGGGAGACTAGGAAAATGGTGATGCACTTGACAGAAATATTTAACTTTGGAAGAAGGTTGGGCTTGAAGGGGAAAGATAACGAGTTCTGTTTGAAAGTGTTGGGTTTGAAGTGTCTCTGGGACATCCTATTCGATATGTGCAATAGGCAGCCGGTGATGCAGGACTGGGGATCAGAATAGAGACTGTGGCTGGATGTAGAGATCTGAGAGTCATCTGAAGAGAGATCATAGTAAAACCCAGGGGAGATGACCTCTATAAAAAGAGAAATGGGCTCCAAAAAGAGCAAAATAAACTGAGGACAGACAGGTAGGAGAAGAACTGGGAGAGGATAGTGTCTGGAAAATCCAGAGGAGAAAGTATATGGAGGAAGATGGTAGCCAACAACTTCAAATGCAGCAGAGAGCTCAAGGAGGATTAGGAGTGAGAAAAACAATCTGATTTGGCAATTATGAGTTCTTTGAGGGGGGCCAGGAGGGATAGTGCAAGGGAAGTTTATTGGAGAGATGACTTTGGAGTGAGCAGTTTCAGTTGAGTGATGAGGTAGCAAGCCAGATTTGCAGAGGTTTGAGAAATGAATGGGAGGAAAGAAAATGAAGAATAAATAGGTTTTTCTAGGAGTTTGGCTGAGAAATGGAGGAGAGATATTACAGTGATAGTTTGAAGGCATGACAGAAATCAGTTAAGATATTTTTAAGGAGAGAGGAGAGGGACAGGCATATTTAAAAGCATCTGGGAAAGAACCAGTAGGTAGGGTAAGATTTAAGATTATAACTAGAGGGGATGATTGAAGGAACAATCTGCTGAAGCAGACAGGAGGGGGAAGGATCAAGGACACCTGTTTCCATAGATTTAGGGATGGAAGAGGCCATAGAATCCAAACCCCCCTCATTTTACCGATATGTAAACTGAGGCTGAGAAAGATTAAGTGACTTACCTAAAGTCATACAACTGGTGTCTGAGGGAAGTGGGTCTAGCCCTGGTAAGAAGAGCCCATGTCATTATCACAGACTGGAATAAAAGAGGGGAGAGTAGGGAATGATGGAAAGAGGTTTTAAGATAAAGAGTAAGGCAGCTATTGCCTCAGGTTTGTTTGTTTTGTTTTGTTTTGTTTTTTTGGTAAATTATGAGGCAAAGTACTCAGCTAAAAAGTTGGGGGAAGGAAAAGATGTGGGGATTTAAGAAGAGAGGAGACATTTCAAAATCACCTCTGTGATGAGCAGGATAGGGAATTAGAGAGTATTAAAAGAATTTCCTTGATTCAACTTCAGTAAGGGCCGAGTTGAGGTTAGATTGGATACATCTGCAGTGAATCTAGTCAGTTCATTTGCATGAATTCCAACAACTCCTATCAGAAGCACATGAATAGGAGCAGAAGAATTTGTTGAGTTGTTTTTCAGTCGTGTTTGCTTCTTTGTGACTCCATTTGGGTTTTTTTTTTTTGGCAAAGATACTGGAATGGTTTACCATTCATTTCCTTCTTCAGCTGATTTCACAGAGGAGAAAACTGAGACAGAGTTAAGTGCCTTGCCTAGGGTCACATAGCTCTTGTTTGAGGCCAAATGTGAACTCAGGAAGATGAATCTTCCTGACTCCAGGCCCACCACCTAGCTGCCCCCAAGAAGAAGTAGGTGGTGGGAATAATTCAAGATTGGGGTTTGGCAAAACATGAGCAGCCAGAGGACAAGGCAGAAGCGATTTGAGAATAGAGTACAGTGTGGTGGTGCACTGCTCAGGGTCCTAAGTCTGTAAAAGGAAAGGAAATTCAGAGCAGCAGGACTGGCCTTGAAAAAAGGCTGAGGTTTGGAGGGACTGGAGGTCACAATGATGATGAAGAATAGATTTAGGAGCATAGGGCATAGGGAGAGATGGAATGATAGGAAATTATGATCAGATATAGAGGAATGTCAGTTTTTTATCATGGATAATGGGTCATGGCAAGAACTAGGGTATAATCATTCTTCAGCATGTTTTTAGGTTGAGTAGAATCTGAAATGTGAAATTTTAGACTTGAGAGGTTAGATTGTATGATAGAACTTCGACATAAATGTTGAAGGACAGAAATCGGAGAAAGACAGTGAACCAGGCACTAATAGCCTTGAGCAAAGAGAGAAACTGACCTCCATTCTGCTATCTCAACTGGGGGATAAATTTTGATGGGAGTGATTTTGAACTTCAAAGAAGTTGCGCAGTGATGACGGTAGAGGGAGAGCCTGGAATTGCCAGTGGCAAGCAAGAAGTATTCTGACTCCCTCCTCCAACTCCTCAGTTGCTGTGATCAGGGTATCAGAGAAAGCAGAGTCCTGGAGAGGATGGTCAAGGATGTACTATCATTCAGGAGAAGCCAGGTATCAATGAGTACTATAAGATGGAAAGAACATGAAAGGAAAAGATTCAAAATAAAGGATGAAGTCTGGTACGGTTTGGGAATCCTAGTGGGCATATAATGGGAGGGACAGGATGAACTGAGCTGTAGATATGAGAGGGATAGGGTCAAGGAAGATGAGGGTGAGAACAAGCAATGAGGGGCTGGGGGTGAGGGGGGGTGGCACGGGGGTAGGGAAGAGTAGTTGACTCTTAAGTAATGCAGTTGATAGAGTACTGGGCCTGAAATCAGAAGACTCATCTTCCCGAGTTCAAATCTGGCACCAGACACTTTAGTAGCTGTGTGACCCTGGGCAAGTCACTGTATCCCTATTTGCTTCATCTGTTTCCTCATCTGTAAAATGAGCTGGAGAAGGAAATGGCAAACCACTCTAGTATCTCTGCCAAGAAAACCTCAAATGCGGTCATGAAGAGTTGGACATGACTGAAAAAAACTGAACAACAGTCAGTAATCAAACATCACAGTGACTATGAAAGTATGAAGTAGGTGGTAGGAATTTGATAACCATATTGGGTACCAGATGTTTTAGATACAAAACTAAGCAATGGTTTGTATTTGTTCCCACAGGCACTAGCTAGCCAACTGGGTTTCTTGATCAGGGAAGAGACATACTGGATACATTCTTTAGGCATATCACTTTGGCACATCCTGTGGTGGACTATGTAATGCAAACAGTGCCTGATGTTACTTCTGGCATTTGAAGACACAGATAGAAGTGTTGTTCATGGAAAGAAGAAGGGCTATGTCTTCCTCAGAGTTAGGAGTAGTGAAGGAAGAGAGGATATTATATGTATATATCTATATATATGAAAGTTTTGAGGTATAGAATAGGAGAGCAGAAGGAGTTCATGGCAGCTTCTATTTTCTCAGTAAACTAGAAGATGAGGACATCTGCACTGAAATAGTGATAGAGGAGACATTAGGAGAAAAGGAAAGGAGCAGAAAGGCTGCTGAGGAGAGTGATAATAGAATCAAAGAATAATAAAAAAAAATGGCCATGTACCAATGAGGGGCAGTTGAGATTAGATGATAGGAATCTGTAGTAGACATAGCATAGTATTGTAATTTAACCTGAACCATCACCCTTGCACTAGCTACTTTTTCTTCCCTTTACCATCTTGACCCTTTGGTGGCCTCTCTTCTTACCTTGCCATGACCTAGCCTTGGACTATTTCCACCATCTGCTGCCTTCAGTGCTATTTTACATGCTGATGAATGAAGATGGAGAAAAATAAGCACACTAAATTGTGCTTACTAGATCCACTACAAATTCACATTACATAATCTCAACTGGGCCTTCGATGTGGCAGGGCAATCCTTTTTTACCACCCTAATTAACACTATCCCATTCAGGACAGCAGCTCTTCTAAAGCTTTTCATCCCTCCTTAAAAGACCTATTGCTCCTCTTCCCTTCCCCCTCTCAGATAAGAACCTTGCCTCATATTTCACTGAAAAAAAAATGAGGTCATTCACCAAGAGTTCCTGCCTTCCCAGTTATATCACATCTTCCAGATGTCTTCCGGCACTATTTTCTCCTTCACTTCTGTTTGCCATGAAGAGGTGGCCCTTCTCCTTGCCAAGGCAAACTCCATCCCCTACCCCCCACCTATGTGATCCCATTCCAGACTGTCTTGTCCATTAGATAATAAGCACTATTATCCCCAGTACCATTTATCTTCCCCCTCTCCCTGTCTACTGACCGCTTCCCTACTGCCTGCAAACATGAGTATCTTCTCCACCTTCCAAAACCCTTCCACTTCATCCATCCATCCTTGCTATCATTTCATATGTCTGTTCTCTTTTTTCTAAAGAAGGCCATTTACATTCAGTGATTCTACTTCTTTTCCTCTCATTCTCTTCTCAATTCTCTACTGTCTGGCTTCCAAACTCATCACTCAACCCAAACTGCTCTCTCCAAAGCTACCAGTGACTTCTTAATTGCCAAATCTAATGTTCTTTTCCTCAATCTTCAGCCTTCTTGACTTCTTTTGCAGCCTCTGACACTGTCAATTACTCTCTTTTCCTTGATACTACCTTCTTCCTAGGTTTCCAGGACACTCCTCTAGCCTGGTTCTTTTCTTGTCTTACTTTGCTCCTTTGCTAAATTTTCATCCAGGTTTTGCCTACTAATGGTAGGTGTCCCCCAAGGCTCAGTCCTAAGCTTCTTCTCCCTCTATACTATTTCACTTGATGCTCTTGTCAATTCCCCTAAGCAGAAATACATACATACCTACACACACATATATATACACATACACACATATATGCACACACATATATACACACACACACATATATACACACACACACACATATACACACACACACAAATGTGTATACAAATATATGTTATATACAGGATATATATCCAGTATATATGTGAGATATAGGTATCTATATCTATTCTGATCCTGATTAAGATTAGTAAGAATAATGAAGCCCCTGTCTACATGTATTGACATTAGTACTATTAGACATCCTAACTGTGTTATGGCAATTAGTTCCAGGCCATATATACCCCGATCCTGGTTAGTGAGCATGAATCCCCCAAGTGAATACATGTACTGAAATTCCCCCTACATAAAGTTAGAATTGTGTGAGATACAGCAGTTGGTTGTAGGCTATAAAACAGCCCAATCCCCATTAGTTCGAATGAATTCCCCGAAATTCTCGTATTCAAAGTTGCAATAGTGTAAAATAGGGCCATTAGTTTCAGAACTGTGGAAATACTACTAATCCAAAGGATTTACGCTAAGTTCGCCGGTTTCATACTGGGTCATCTCAACCTATTATTCCCTTGGTAGAAAGGAGACATTCGCATAGGCGTTTCAAGATTCAAGGCTAGTGGGGAACCCTAAAGATCATCTTCGTCTAAAGCTCTCACTTTTCGGATGGGGAAACTGGGTCCCAGAGTGGGTAAAGCGAATTTCTCAAGATCTGCAGCTCGGGCGACTTTGGGATTTGGACCGGGGTCTTCAGCAGACTCTTTGCCATCAGCCAGGGCTTGGGGTGGGGGATGGGGAAAGGGGAGATAGGAGGGGCTTAGGTATTTTCACCAGGAATAAAGCTTAAGGGAGCTCTGCAAGCATCAGCCACCCCAGCTACCTCCAAGGCACAAGTGGCTTGGGAGGAGTATCTCTCTATGCACTCCATCCGGCACTTCGTCCTCGTTTCTTTCCAACTCACTTCAATCGAGTTTCCTCCAGTAACTCCAGTCTAAGGCGGTCTGTGGTCCAACTGCCCAAGGTGTCCCCTCTTCCTTCCCCCATAATTTTGAGCTCACTAAGCTCCCGCACCTTTTTGGTCCAGGGACTGACTTGGAAAGGCGAGCGCAGGACCAAGTCCTGGGAAGCCCCTCCGCTGAAGCGGTGCCGTCACTATGGCGAGCCCCCGACTCCATAGTAACGTAGCCCGGACTCTCCCAGCCCCCGCTGGAGTGACCCGAAGACCGGCAGACCCCGGCCCCCAGCCCGCGTAGAAACTCCCCCGAGGACGCAGAAGTCTGAACGATGGGAAGTACTGGACAAGGGCGGCAGAGAAGGGGGTTCGTAGGCAGAAGACAAGCGGGGATTCCGGGCACACCGAGAAATACCACAGGAGCTCCAAGCTGTCCCGCTACGTGCCCATGAGGACCCCCAAGGTCTGAGGCAAGGACGCGAGAACCCTGGACTTCTGGGCTCGTGAACCTTCGATAGCTCCCGCTGATTGGTGAAGTAGAACAATACGGCCCCGCCTTTCGGCTCCGTGATTGGCGAGCTCCGGTACCTCCTTGACTGGCTTAGAGAAATTGCGCCAGGAGCGTTCTTTCCTTTCTGAGGGTCCCTCCCCTCACTCCCACCCGGCTCTATGGGTGTCACTCAGCTGCTGAGTGATCTTGGTCTAGTTACTTAACTGCCTTTAAGAAAGGAGTGGGAAAAAGACTGTTCCCTTCCTAGGTCTTATCATAGAGCAAAGGTCATTTTCCTTCATCCTTAAGTTTCCTTAAGATTGGGACTTTCTGTAGCCCAAAGACCAACTTCATACAGTCCAGCCTCCTGCTTTTCCCCAACTCCTGACTCCAGTTTGTGTTAACTGATCCTTTGGCAACCTGGGAAGGTGGGGGAAGGAGATGGGTAAGTCTTGGCCACAAGCAGCTTGCACACCAGATACAGAATTAACAAATGTATACTAATATGGAGATCAGTTGATACTTGGTATGAGTTGTACATTTCAGTGCTTGGTGCTCACACAAGTGGGAGGCAGGCAGAGAGCAGTGCTTCCCTTTTTTGCTGGCAAGGAAACTGAAGCTCAGACAGGTAGTCCAGGTCTTCAGATTCCGAATCAAGTGATCTTTCTAGTATATGGCTCACCTTTCATTCCTGAGAGCATATGGGCCTTATTGTTTCAGAGACTTTCAGTGAATTATAAGGAGGGCTATCCACCACATCTAGCATGGAAGGGAGGCAGAACAGACATGTCTAGACTCTTTTCCCCTCTCCTCTTCTCCTGCCAGAAGGAGGAGGAACAAGAAGTTGGGGCCTGGAGGCCACTCTGTTCTCTTCAAAAAGAGGGTATACCAGGCTAGAATTGTTTAGCTATTGTCCTTCATGCTCAAAGAGGACCAAAATGACATTACTATGTTAGAGTCAAGTGTTAGAGTTAGTGTGTCCAACTGTGGCTAATCAGACCAGTATGAGCTTGGAAGGCTCTACTACAGGTTGGGCACAAATAGTCCATGTGAATATTTAGAGTAGAGATGTCTCTAAGTTTGCACATCTCACATTTCTTTTGAGCTACTGAAATCCTGCTTTGCCCATAAAGCACAGCACCTTCTTTGATGTGGGTTTGTCCTGTGCCATTGTCTCCCATGTCTCACAATTGATTCCAAAGTTCATCAGAGAGACCTTGAGGGTATCCTTGTATTGCTTTTTCTGACCTCCATATGAGTGCTTGCCTTGTGTGAGTTCTCTGTAAAACAGTTGTTTAGGCTAATGTTACTTCTGGCATTTGAATAACATGGTCAGCCCATCAGATTTGCACTCTCTGGTCTGAATGTTTGACAGTTCAGCTCAAGAAAGGACCTCAGTGTCTGCTACATTATCTTGCCAGGTGATCTTCAGAATCTTCCGTAGGCAATTCAAATGGAAGGGATTCTGTTTCTTGGCAGGGTGCTGGTATACTGTCCAAGTTTCACAGGCACACAACAATAAGGTCAGCACAATAACTCTAAGACCTTCACTTTGGTAGGCAGTCTAATGTCTCTTCTTTCCCATACTTTCCTTCAGAGACTCCCAAATACAGAGCAATGACAATGCATGTGTCAACCTTATCATCTATGTGTGCATCCCTGGAAAGTATACTGCCAAGGCAAGTTAACTTATTCATAGCATTTAATTTTCTCCATTTGCTGTAACTCATCATTCCACATATGGATGGTGAGGTGCTGGCTGGTGTAAAACCTGTTTTCTTGATGTTAACTGTCAGGCCAAAGTTAGTGCAAAGTGCAAAGCGCCAGTCCATAGGCTGTTGCATCTCAGCCTCAGAGGTTGCATTGAGTGCACAATCATCTGCAAACAAAAAATCATGCACCAACTCTCCCTCCAACAAATACTAGTTCCACAATCAACAAACATGAAGGAGTTATCAAAGAAAACCCACATATCAAGACAGGTAGCAAAACAGAAATCAAAGAAGGTATACATAGGAGAAAATATATACCAGACAACACAGAGTGAAGGAGCTCTCACAATGAGATTGAGGTTACTCAGCTCAAGCAAGAAAGAGAGTTCGAGATCGTATCCAAGGGGAAACTTCCCAAAGTCTCTAGAGTAACCAGCTGGGGATAGGGATGACTCAGAGACTACCAGTTTTCGCTCATGTCTTTCCAGAGTCTTCCTTCAGTAACCTGAAGTCTCTTCTCTCTCAAAGCTCGAAGCACCCAAAGCAATTCCAAGCTTGGAATGACTCAAGGATTATTTGAAGACTGAAATTATCTCTCTCATTAACTCCACTCCACCTCTCATGCATGGCAGGGTATTCATCTCCACCAGTTAGGAGAGAGTGCCATGCTAATTTGCTTTGGGACTGGGATTAGAGAATGAAGTAATGAAGCATTCATTAAGTGCTTGCTATGTGCTAAGCACTGGGGATACAAATAGAACAAGTAAGGCAAATCCCTACTCTCAAAGAGTTCATATTCTAATGGAGGAAGATAACACATATATGAAAGGTTTCAACTGCAAGTCAGAAAAGTCCCATTGCCCTTAGGATGCATTGGCAAAGCAATGTTTATAATTGAATATTAATATGACATATTCAAAATACGTGGAACAATAAATGTAAGATACTCAAAAGATTTACTCCATTTTAGTTAAAGTCAAGCGAGGTGATGAGAGTTGAGAGTGAGACTGCAAAGTGGAGAAGAGACATTTTACAAAAGGAAAGAAAAGACATACATAGAGAATGGAAGAGACATACACAGAAAATAGAGAGAAGAAAGGAAGAAATAAATATGAAGCTAGAATCCATATAAGTAAATGTTAATCAAAGGTTGCAAGGAAACTAATTTAAATTTGTTCCAAAAACTATTCCATTGTGTTCAGGTGCTCAAGTCACACCTCTTTTATGAACTTTTCCCCAATTACTACAATTCAAATTGGTCTCTTCTCATTCTGACCTATTTAATTTATTGCCTGTACCACTTACTCACTTGACAGTTCATTGTTTGTCTATTACATGTCTCACACTTTAACTTTGTGTATTTCTCCAGCAGTATTCTACAGCCAAGGAGTAGGGCCAGAAGAAATAGACTGTAGGTAATTCAGGGTTAGGGAATTAGTACTATGGGAGGGAGCAAAAGAATCTAGAAGTTTGATATGGGCAGCTGAAATTAACTAGTCGTGGGTATAAGGTAGGGAGTTCAATTTAGTAAGTAGATGACTATTAGACTGATTGAAATGGGAAGAGTTGAGCAATTAAAAGTCTAGATAGGTGGAAAGATTTCATGAATGTATCAGCTTGAGAGAACAAGTAAAGGAGGTTTCATTTGGAGAAGGAAGATGACATTCCTACTGGCAGATGCTTAATGGCAAAGTTAAAGGCAAAATCAGAGGCCACTGTAAAAGCAAGGAGCAAACTGACCCCTGATCTTCTACCACTAAATTGGAGAAATTGAGAGATCTCTTTGGGAGAGGGCAGGCAGAGATGTAATATCTTTAGGAGAGTTAAGGCAATAAGACAAGTGACTTAAGAGCTCTGAATAAGGGAAAGCTGGAAGAAATATGGCTGGAAAAAGTAGTTTGGAGCCAGATTTTGGAGTCTTGAATGTCAGAATAAGCTTATATTTTGTTTTCTAAGTAAAGGGGGGGAATTTCATCCCATTTTATTTTCTAAGTACAGGAGCTATATGAGTAGTGGAGTGACATATTCAAGGTGATACATTAGGAAGTTGATCAATTGACAAGCATTTATTTAACATCTATTATGTGTGAGGTGCTGGGGATATAAAGACAAAAATGAAAACAGTTCCTGTCCTCAAAAAGCTTACCTTCTGTCGAGAGAGAGAGCATGTACACATATAAGTATATACAAAATAAATAAAGGCAGTTTTTATAAGAAGGCACTAATAACTGGAGGGATCAGAAAAGACTTCATGTAGGACTCAATATTTGAGCTGAGCTTGGCAGGGAACGAAGGCTTTTAAGAGATGGCTGTGAGGGGAAAGGGCATTTGAGGCCTGCATAAAGACTCCTAGACAGGAAATGGGGGGTATCAGATCACAAAATCACATCTGATTTTGCTTAGAAGCAGCAGGAAGGTCAGTTTGGCTGGATCTAAGGATGTGTAAGTACCTGTCAGAGGAATTTGTATGTTATCTTAGAAAGTAATAAAGAGATGCGGCATGGTTAGACCCTTTAGGAATATCACTTAGGCAGCTGTAAGGCAGCTGTGTGGATTGGAGAGGAGAGAAACTGAAGGTAGAGAAATCAAAAGAAAGCTCTTGTGATGGAAATCAGAACTAGAGTACAGGCTGCTCAAGCTGCAGAAAAGCGGACAGATTAAAGAAGTAAAACTGACAAGATTAGTCAATTGATAGGTAGTGAAGGAAAAGGATAACTCCAAAGGTTGGGAACCTGAATGACTAGAAAAAAGGTGTCACACTCAGGGAAGGTTAGAGTTGGCCTAAGTTGAGAAGAGAAATTTGCATTCTATTATGGACATACTGAGTTTGAGATGCCTATAGGACATTCAGTTGGAGATGTCTAGTAGGAAGCTGGTAGTTTGGGACTGGAGTCCAGGAGGCAGATAAAGGTTGTATATTGAAATATGGAAGTCTTCTTTTTGCTAGTCAACCAAATGATAAGCACAATAGAGGCTTGTACTCTCTAAAGACTTTCAATCAATCATGTCATGGTAAAGAGT